GAAGAAAGTAATAAAAATATTTTAGAGCTTGTTACCAGTCAAGCCCCCTCAATTCATACATATTTTTTGGATTCATTATATGGAAAGACACAAGTCGATCCTTGTAGCAAAATTGAGGGGGCTTGACTGGTAACAAGCTCTAAAATATTTTTATTACTTTCTTCTCGACTCTAAAGTATGACCTTCACAAGTTCACATCCCATAGGGAGATTTATGATTAAAGTCAACTACTGAAGTCGAAATCATATAACTTGGGATGTTAAGGCTCAGCTTGTCCACTATCAGGCTCGACTTGATCCACCACAAGAACTAACTCATGCTCGTCCCTTGGTGGGGGTGAGCCACAAAAGGGTGTAAAGGCTAGAGTTTTCCACCGTCAAGCTCGACTAGGTTCACAAGACAACCTAACTCGTGCTTGCTTTTGGACGAATCAAGCACAGGTTAGCTCGTTAAAAAAAGGCGGTTTGTTATATATAATGTGACATAACGTTTGCATGATGCCATGAGGCCAAATAGATAGACATAATTCAAGCCAAATAGTCACTTGAAGGACAGATAACCACTTTGGTTTAATTAAAGAATATGTCTCAGTCAAAACACATAGTGCAACTCTTACTAGGCCTAGAATGAAAGATCTTGTAGAAGATGAACAGAAGTAGAGCTAAATGACTATCTAGGCAAATCAAGGGATGATTAGTTAGGCTTCATGTCCTGATATAACGAGTTGAATAGAGGCACAAGACATCATATCTCAAAGCCAGCATAACATAAAGGTACCTTCCTTAGTACTTCCGATATGACGTGTTGAGGTTGATATGCAGTGACATTTCAAACACTATGCACTTGGGGCATTTCCAACCACGAACCAAATTGGTGTAAAAGTACAAATTTGGTGCTAAAATCCACTCCAATCATGCACCAAAACTTTACACCTGGTGGCTGGTGCAACGTTGATATGTAGTGACATTTCAAAGATCGTGCACTTAGGACATTTCCAATCACGCACCAATTTGGTGCAAAAATCCACTCCAACCGTACATCAAAAGTTCACACCTAGTGCAATGAATAGTGTAGCACTATTCATTTGGTACCCTTTAATTTATAATACAACAAATTTAATTTCTATTCTATCTTTCTATTATTAATTGATTTAACTTTATTTATATTCTGTTTAATTTGATTATTATTTATAGTAAACTGTAATCATTTTTTAATTGTGGTTTTAAATGTAATAGTTTTTTATTTTAGTTAATTATATATAATTTTTAATTTAACAATTTTTGTTGTAATATATTCTGTAATTAATAACTTCTGAAATAAATTAATTGTCGAGAATAAATAAATAAGGAAATACTATTCATTTGGTGTAATATTTGATGTAATGACTAATGATGGAAATGATCTACAAGATGGTGTGAAAGTTGCATCAATTTGATGCTAATGGTTGGAGATGACGTTAGAGAAAATCTCAAGGTGACTATAGCTTGTTGAACACGCTAGCTCAACAACACATTTTCTCAAATACCATGGATCAGATCCTTTCAGTATTTCATAGAGTGATACTTTGTCCACATTATGTGTACACTCTTCTAACACTATAAATTCCATCTCTGCGTATGAGAAATCACCACTTCTGTTGAATCTTTGTCGAACCATTTTTTCCACAAGACACCAAAGTCAACTTCAACATTGGAGGGTGATCGACCATTCATCTCCTATCATGGCAAGCGTCGAGCAAACATGCAAGTGATCTTTTTATAGAGTCAAAGCACGTTTTAGGTTATCAGAATGGATATAAATCTTCAAACAAATTTCGACATCCAAGTGTTATCAAATATGAATGTGATCTTAATGCTGCATTACATATACAGAGATATATATATTATTATTTTTTTGGGAGAATGAAAGGTTTAAAAAGAAGGTAAAGTTTTCAGTTTACGAGTAATATTATTTTATAGAAGATTGCGTGATTGAAGATAAGAAAGAGGAAAATGAAATTCAATTTAATAGGAGTCAAATGGGGCTCAAATATCCAACTAGATGATTCATTCTATAGTAACCCACTAGAATCCAGTTTAAGTCAATTTGTTCCCCACTTAACATCATCTGGCTCAAATTTTTATACACCAATGGTGTCGGGCAAATAGCAAGGAGTTTGGCAAGGTACACTCCTACTTTTTAACAGGAAAATAGCTGTGGTGGATAGTGCTACAAAAAATACGAGAGGTTTCTTTTATGCATCGTTAACAAGTTGGGGAATAATGACACATTTTTTTCTAATGTCAAACTTTTGAATGAAAAAGTTGAGAGCAAGTTCGAGAAAATATGAAAAAATAATTCATTCATTCTTAAATAATTTAGACTTTAAAATGAGATAATTTAACCGTTCCTTAAATTTACAATATTCAAGACCTGTTCCAAGTGACCCAAAGAAAAAGTCATTGAAATTTAACATTTTTTCAACATATGGCTGAATGTCCAAGACCCTTCCTTTATTTATTTATTTATTTATTTTCAAATATGTCCAAATCATAGAACCCACAAAATAATGACTCAATCAAATAATTGAGACAAGAATCAATAATTTACTGAAATAATACAAGCCGTATTTGACATTTGATATAATAGCATACGTGTCTAAGAAGATAAGGAAAGCACTCAGAAAGAGAAGTTTTCTTGGTCAAAGTTAGAAATTTATTACTACTTCTTTTCCTCTAAGATATGAATTATACTTTTGGAACAAAGGTCAAAAAAAAAAAAAAGGTCAGTGATTCGTGCATTTTTTTTTTCATATGCCATCTATTTGGGTTGTTTCCTTCTAGAAAAAATTGATTTTCGTCCACTTTTTATTAATGAGCACTAGTAATGTTCAATTTTCCTACTTTTTGGTGGAGATCGCACTAATTACTAATTATTGAGATGTGTTATTTTAAATTGATTATAATAATTAAGAGATTTTATTACATTATACTATTCAAAATTATCTCGATAATAATCGATATAACTATATTATGCTATTCTATTTTAAACTGACTTGACAACAATAGTCAAGTCAATGCTACATTAAAATTGCCATAAGCTATTGTTCTCATTGGGATATACATTTGCACTTCATTTCCACATGGTCCACAAGTCTGGGCAACTTAATCTTTGATCCTCATACTAAACTCATAAACTAAATGTTCTGTTTTGCTACAAATCAATCCCCAAATTTTCTTTTTTTTTTTTTTTTTTTTTGCAAATTATTAGTATATGGCTTTTTGGATGTTGCAAATCAGTTCCTATTGGCCTTTTTGGATGTTGCATATCAGCCCCTATTGGCCTAATTTGTGAAAGGGGCATGATAGACAATCCACTAAATTCACTTTGTGCTGTTAGTAAGAATCCTCAATGAACACTGCCTGACCACATATATAGCAAGATTGACAGAATTTAAGCAATTTTTAGCCCCACAACACCATCTTGCTCAAAATTTGATCCACAATCTTGGTTGGGTGAATGGGAAGGGATTTTTACTCTTACCAATTTTTAACGGTATAACAGAAGGAAATTAGCTGGGGGCCAATAGTGCTACAAAAGTATAATTAGGGATCACTTTGATATAATGACAATAAGTTGGTGGCTAATGGTGCAATTGTTTCTAGTGTCAAACTTTTCAATACAAATAATCTAGAGCACGTTGGAGAAAATATGAATAAATAATTTCATTCATTCTGAAATAACTTTTGTTGACTCAAAAAGTCTTTAAACCTTTGCATACGAAATCTTAGTAGCCCAAAGAAAAATCAATGGACTTATATAATTTTGTTCATGCACAGCTAAAACTACATAGGGTTGCAATTAATTATCAAAGATTCTGTTGGATATGTCCAAATTATATTAAAAAAATTATTTAGATAAAAAATGATAACAACACAAGTTGTGCTTTGACATTATTTTAAGAGCACGTATCCAAGCTTAAAAAGTTCAGTAACTTTAATTATTCAAAATTTAGAAATGTGTTTCTTATGTTGACACTAAAAAATGACTATTTTAAAAAAAATTAACTTTCTCTTTTACTTTAAAAGTAGTTGTACAAAAATACCTTAAAATTTACTTTATTGCTTTTCTAGGCTTAACCAAACACGATCTAAGCCGTGCTTGACAAATTTTCACACACAAAGTAGAACTCAAATTTTTCTTGATTTTGATATATATAATGTGACATAATGCTTGTGTGACATTGTTAAACTCAATAGATATGACACAATCGAATTTAAATGATTATTCGAAGTGCAGATAACCACTTAGATTTATTTAATTATTAAAAAGGTTGTATTTTGAGCACAGAATATGTCACTTAGGTTTTGTTTGGCAGTCATTTTTTGGAAAGAATGAGTTTTAGAATATAATTTTTTGGAGAACGTGTGGTTTAAAATATAGAAAAAATTTTGAATTTGTAAGAAGAATATTTTATTGTACGAATGTGTGGCTAAAAATGAGTATGAAAAAAAAAAGAATTTTGAAAGAATGATTATTAAATTGGGGCTTAGTCAAATCACATAGTGCAACCCTTTCTAGGCCTAGAAGGCATGATGTTGTCGAAAATGAAGATTAGTACAACTAAATGACTAGCTAAGCAAATCGAGGGGCATGAAAATGCATGTTAGGTAAATGTAAAGAATTTTGCTGCTCAAAGAATTTTTGAGAAGAATGAGTTTTAGAATAGAATTTTTTGGAGAGTGTATGGTTAAAATCTAGGAAAAAGTTTTGAGTTTACTGGAAGAATATTTTATTGTAAGAATATGTGATAGAAAATGAGTATAAGATAATAATTTTTTTTCCCCGAAAGAATGATTATCAAAATCACATGGTGCAACTCTTTCTAGGCCTTGAAGGCATGATGTTGTCGAAGATGAAGGTTAGTACAGCTAAATGACTAGCCTAGCAAATCGAGGGGGCTGAAAATGCATATCACTTATCTGGTAAATGAAAATATGGAGTAAAATACATTCCATATCTCCAGTGGACGGAGACCAATAGAAATACAAGTCAACTCATAAATTTGCTTAATAATCTATGACTTGATTGTTTTTTTTCTTCTTGAAAAATTACTAATACTACTGGGAAATGTGAACGAAAACAGAAGGCCCAGAAATTCATAAGCAGTATTAAGTGTTCTTCCTCAACATGGCACCTCAACTCATTTACCTCATCGTTCTATCACTCTTTGCAGTACTTGGATCAAGTGCTCAACATGACTGCCAAGTCGAAAAGTGCAGGCACCATGGCCCTGCCATCCGGTTCCCCTTCAGCCTTAAAGACCGCCCCCAACAGCACTGTGGCTACCCTGGCTTTGAACTTCACTGCACTCAAAATGATGACACGGTCTTGGAATTACCTTTTCCGGTGAAGGCATCCGTCAAGGACTCTAACCTTCCGTTTTCGGTTCAGTTTTCCATTAAAGAAATCGATTACAAAAATCAATTAATCGAGATATCTCAAGTCTTTGGCTGCTCTCCAGGATTGCTTCCAATTCTAAATTTATCCGCATCTCCATTCCAATTCCTAGATGATTATAGTTATAACTTCACTTTATTCAACTGTTCCAAAATCAAGCGAGATCTGGAGTTTCGTTTTGGTTTCAATTTGGTATCCTGCCTCAGCAGTAGGGATTATGACGTTTATACGGTTTCGTCCGATGATTTCTTATATAAATTGCCCCTACAATCCTGCAGCAAGATGTTTGACATTCAATCCATACCTTGGGATGTATTTGAAAATCTGTCCTCTTTTCAATTGGAATGGTCCAGACCATCTTGTGGACATTGCGAATCCAATGGCAAACATTGTAGATTGAAGAATGACAGTTCAATCTTGCCTGATACTGAATGCTACAGCAGCAAACCAGAAGGTAATTTTACATATATTTTCCGTTTTACAGATTTAGAGAGAGAGGGAGAGTCGATCCGGGAGAAGATAGAATTATGCTCAAATCAATTAACCTTCTCTTATATCTTTGCATAAACTTTCTTGATTTGGATTACGGGTTCTATATTCCACCACAATTAAACATTATTTTGTGACACAAACATATTCATAATAAAAACACTACCAATCATTTTATAAGTATATAGCATTAGCATTATCCATATTTAAAAAAATAAAAAATAAAAGTCTTCATATTTTCTCTCACTACATTTTCTATATATATAGATTCACTCTCTGAATATATAGCGTTAAAATTAGATAGAGAAGTGAAGGAAGAGAAGAAAAAGGTCAAACTTTCCTTCAAACTCTTAAATTTCAGAGGACTTGCATTAGAATCATGTGTACAACGTTTTGGGGAGTTGACAAATGCTTGGAATTTGCTAAAAGCTTCATCCACGTAATTGAATATGCGTTACTTCTTATGGAATTTCAAACTTGAAATATTTTCATATTCTTTCAATTGATCGTATTTCTTCTATGTTGGAGTAACTCCGATGAAGCTAAAAACATAAATTTCTAAAGAGAATTAGGAGTCAAGACTCATATTTATGTTTTATTGTATGTTGTGAAAACATTACTCACTATAAATTATATTTTTTATCTGTGAAATTGTCATGTACATAGCAATAAAAGAAAATAACAGAATAGAATACAAAATATATAAGTGTAAGTTATTTATGTCATCTTAACTATGATTATTTTAGTAAATAAAAAAAATATTGAAAATTGTGGTATATCAAATAAAAATAATGATGGCAATATAATCACTCTTGAATTGATTGGATCCTCCGTAATTGTAATATATCCTAGAAATATATATGACGATAACTTGATTTAAAAGTTTAAATTGCTACATAGGGTCACATTTATATCATTTAAATCATTTTTTTTCCAATTTGAGAAACTACCCATGCATTTTGAAGTATAGACTTCCACAAAAAACTATCTAGACTTATGAAACTTTAATATACTTTTCACAAATCTGCTCATTTTTCGAGTCTAGAGATAAGATACATTCCATTTCATGAAAGCAAGGTGCCAAGGAAACCACTTACAGGTATATTCACGAAAACCTGAGTAGGGGAACAAAGTTACAATTGAAATTATTCATCAATTTATCGTTTTTCTAAGTAGTTCCATAACTTTTTTTTTTTTCTTTTTTTTCTCCAATGCTTCAAGGATCAGAAGGAGCTTACACCTGTTTGGTGTAGATTAGAATTTGAAATTCCTTACATAAGGATTTAGCGATTCAATTCTAACAAAAGGGAATATATTGGTAGTAAGAGGGCGAACGGTTAAGGATTTACCCAAAATTTTAGTAAATTTTGATAAAAATTAGTGAAATATGTTATTGAAAAATTGTGACTCTCATTAAACGTGTGGGTAAAATTAATTATTGATTTTGATTTGAAATTAAAATCTAATTTTCATGTACACCAAATCCTTTAGCAGAAAAAAATCTTAAAAATGCACCAACATACATCCAAAGGCATAGACTAATTTTCTATCTATTCCTATATTCTCATTTCAGATATCCCTTTCTTTTTATTTTATGTAAAGTTTTCTTGATAGTCTAAAGAGTAGTAAGAGAAACTAACAGTTCATTTTCAAATGTTTTGCAGGTCTTGTGGCAAAACTAAGAGTTGCAGGTGAGAATTTGTGCTAATTTTATCTTCTATTTGTGACTACAAATAATGTAACATTTTCTCTAGTTATGGCGAAAAAACTAAATCTGTTTTCTTTGATATGCAGGTGAAGTGCTTGGTCCTTTGCTTGCTGCGTTCCTTGCTATTGCATCATATTGGATTTATAGCTCATACAAACTGAAAAAAGAGAGTGATTTGAAAATTGAGCAATTCTTGGTGGATTACAAGGCACTCAATCCAACAAGATATTCGTATGCAGACATAAAAAGAATCACAGATAACTTTATCGAAAAACTTGGTGAAGGAGGATACGGAACAGTATACAAAGGAAAGTTGTCTAATGATGTTTTTGTTGCGATCAAGATCCTCAATAATTCTAAAGAGAATGGCGAAGATTTCATAAATGAAGTGGGCACCATAGGTAGAATCCACCATGTCAATGTGGTTCGCCTGGTTGGATATTGTGCCGATGGTTTTACACGAGCTCTGGTTTATGAGTTTCTGCCTAATGATTCACTTCAAAAGTTTATATCTTCTGAAAAACAGAGGAGTAAGCTCGGGTGGGAGAAGTTGCACCGGATTGCAGTGGACATAGCCAAAGGAGTTGAGTATCTTCATCAAGGCTGCGAGCAAAGAATCCTTCATTTTGATATTAAACCAAACAACATATTGCTAGATGACAACTTCAATCCAAAGATATCGGATTTTGGTTTAGCAAAATTGTGTTCCAAGGAGCAAAGTATTGTGTCCATGACTGCAGCAAGGGGTACAATCGGTTATATTGCGCCGGAGGTTTTCTCGAGAAACTTTGGGAATGTTTCTTATAAATCAGATGTTTATAGTTTTGGGATGTTGCTTCTTGAGATGGTTGGAGGATTGAAAAAAAATGATGTTGGTGGGCAGGACAAAAGTCAAGTTTATTTTCCAGAATGGATTTACAATAAATTGGAGCACGGAGAAGAAATAGCCATCCAAATTGAGAAAGAGAGCGACAATAAGATTGTTAGAAAACTAACTATTGTGGGACTTTGGTGCATTCAGTGGTATCCGGTCGAGCGACCCTCCATGAAAGTTGTAATTCAAATGCTTGAATCGGAAGAAACTCCCTCCATGCCCCGTAACCCATTCACTTCCACGAATGGAATGCAGAATGCAGCAATTGCACGTGGTAGAATATTCAGCAGCGAACTTGAAATCATTTCAGAATCTGAGTAATGAAGTGAGAGCATTTAATACTGAAACTCTTTGACTGCTTCGTAAATTTAAGATGTGGTTTTACAAGTAGAAGTATATTACCCTCTCTGTGGCCAATACTACATAATAAACATGTACTAACTATTTAAGATCTCAGCATCATCTTCCTTTATGTCGGCTCTATTATGGATTAAAAACTAAAATATTTTGTCGTAGTTTTCAATTTTACTTTTGTTTTCATGAATTTAATATGTTATCAGATGGAATGTTCTAATTCAAAATGTCAAAGGTAACCACTATCAAAATCACACATACAAAAAGCATTTTAACTCTGTCGTTTTATGCATATATTTCACAACTCCAATGTATAGAGGGCATAAAACTTCAGCAGATGATATAAATGAGTCAAACAAATCCTGCCTCAAGTAACCATTCAGCCCGAAGTTATTGTTCCATTAAATTGCCACGAACTATTATCCCATGCTTTCGCTGGAATTTTAACCTGCTTCGTCTCCATACGGATCAAAAATCTCAACAGCATAAGTTTTATCTTTTTACTAAACTAATAAAAAGAACTAGTTGCCTAGAGGTCTCTGTTTTTGACCTACTCGATGTACATAGTGGATTCACCATTACATTAGTTGTGTAGTCATCCAATCCTATGTAACCCATGTTATTTTAAATTTTTTCCTTAAATTTTATGTTTTTCCTTGGACACCCACTTCCTTGATCGGCTAACTCAATGCACCAAGTCTTCCATAGTGTATTGCAGCCTTGGACTAATTTTCACTTGATAGCACTTGAAATGGTTTAGGATCGCTGGCTCTTCATTCTTGAAAATTTGCATAAGAAACACTTGGATTAGAATATTATGCATCTCTGCACCTGTATTTTCTGGTTTTAGAAAACATGCCCAGAATTTTCTATAATAGTAAAAGGGTCCCTGAATATTTTGAAATCTGCGATTCTGCCCCCAAAAATTTTAGTTGTTGCAAATTAGTCCCTAAATTTTCTATTTTTCTGTTAATTAGTCCCTGCCAATTGCCACCATGTCATGCAGCCTCTAGCTGCAAAAACCTGGCTAAAGCTGAGCTAGGTAAGCAGCTCGAACAGGAAAATTCGAGCTTGGCTAGTTCCATTTCCACCCCTACAAAGAATTTCTAAACAATACATTGATCATTATGTGACCTAAAATATTAATCCCTACATTTGGAGAGGGTTGCTGGGTAACTAAATTTCATCTCAAAAGGTTAACTTATTATGCAAAACAGTTCAATTTCTTATAGTTACATTATCTACTCCGTATCTAGTTACTGTTAGATTCTGTATGCAGATTCTAAGGGATTAACAATACCCTAATGGAGTACCACATTATCTCAGATCCTTAAATGATAATTTATGTGTCACTCTTCCCTAAAACAGAAAGGATTACAATCTCCATCAAGGGACAACTTTCCAATGTGTCACAAACCATTATGTTGGTACAACATCTGTGTTGGGAGCAAACTGATGTTTTTCCTATTGCAATCCTACTTGAGTCTGACCCCCCACATTCAATTGAAGTTTGGGATTCGTCTTGTAAGTCTACATGGCTAAATTTTTTGGCCTCAACTCTAATACTAGGAGGATATTAGGGCTATGTCCCAAAAGATTAATTAATTGGGTGCAGCATTCCAATTCCCAGAGTTGCATTATCTATAGTATCTTTAACGATATGGAATTCTTGTTATTACTTTTCCAATAGACGAGTGGGTGGGGAAAGAAAATTGGTATGGGTGGTGGCGCTCAAATTTTTAGTGATTTTATAAGGCCAATAAATATGACTCAATTCAAATCAAATGAAAACTTGAATATGAGATGGATTCTTGGGTCTAATTAAAAAAGATGTATTTGTGAGCACCAGATATGTCACTCACTCAAAACACATACTGCAATCCCGAATCCTTAGGCACGATCTTGTAGAAGAGTTGGAAAAGGTACTCATTCTCTACATATGGGCCTATGCAATTTACAAATGTTGTTTCAATGGTGTCGATGTATTCAATATAAATAGTAGACAGATCAAATTTCGTGGAAGAATATTGTGGACCAGAAGAATAATTTTGACTGACTAGGCCTGGATCAGACAGGCGTACTGTGTAGTGACTGTAATGGATTGCGTGAACGTGGCATGTTGTAGATTTCAAGTTTAATATGGTTCGATTTTTCTGGCAATCAATCACAAGAAAAGTATCTGAACAGCCACTATTCTAGGGAGCACTTTTCAATCTGAAAGGGTAGTTTCTGGTGATATCCCCACAAGAAGAAGGCTGGCAGTTAGTTGTTTTGGGCTCTGTAAACTTTTAAACAATATAGAAGAATTAACATGATGGAACCAACAAATTAGTGGCTTTTTGTGCATAGTTACTGATCAGGGAATTCCGTGATTCTCGAATTGTTTGTCCAAGTTTATTAATGTATGTAGTCCATTACTCTATACAATGGAAGCTGCAAATAAAAGCTTAAAAACAAAAGCTTGTTTCTCGGCACTGATTATGCTTTTATATAATTGATTGTTTTATATTGTATTCTTACTTGTAATATGTTAATTTTTTCAAATCTTTTTGTAGAGAGTTTTTCATCTTAATCATATTTATGACTTTTGATTTCTCATTAAAAGATGAATAAATTAAAATTGATCTAAAGATTTACAACAAAAAGGAATTAAAAAGAGAATATATAATATTATGATAATATTAATGTCTATAGTATTAAAAAACAAAAATTTGTGAAAATGTTACCATATCTAGTAATATAAAATATTTAATGAATTTTCAATTAGATTTTATTGTGAAATATTTATTTATCTTGACTTGATAATTATTTTTAAGCGATCAACGTAGCTTATTCGCTCTCTTCGCGCTCTTGCTTCCTTCTTTCCCGACCTGACCATTCAATCTTATTGAATGGAGTCAGGGTCGTACCTTTCCTTGTTCCTTCCCTTCCACGCATTCCATCCGATGGAATGGAGTACAGGAAAGCCCTTAGCTGCTCTTTCCTGGCCCGCTATTCCGAAGGAATAGAGTAAGGTTGTAACTTTTGAAATTTTATAAAAATATGTATATTTAACTAACTTGATATCATTTACATCAAAAGTATGAAAAAAATATCTTAATAATAATAATAAGAAAGAAAGAAATTATAATTTGAATATAATAAAATAAAATTTTCAAATTAGTATAGAAAGGTAAAATGAGAAATAAATATTTACTTTTTGCTAACGGAAAAAATATCCAAAAGTAAACCTCAAGGGAGGTTTATGTAACTTGCTCAAAAGTTTACAAAGAATATCTCACGTTTATATAAATCTGTTTATATTAAAACAACTCTCCTAATATTTGTTAAATTATAAGTAACCAAATATAAATGTCCGATATATCCACATAATAAAAAAAAAAAAAAAAAAGGAAC